CTACTCCTGGGCGTAGGAAAAGTAAAATATTCGTGCTTGTAAATATAATAAAGGCTTATCATACACGAGGCCCTCAGGTGGTGAACATCCTTGTATACGAAGGGGGCAATGAGAAGAATAAGATAATAGATGATTTTCAAGTAACAAAGGTGGACGTGAAGCTGCGTAATTCAGACGTTCTTCAAAATCCTTATGAGAAACTTTCGCATCTAGAACGAGATCAACAAACAATTATAGTTTCTCTTCTAAGTGACTTTCTAGACACAGTCAGTGATGTGCCCTGCCAGAGCCCAGTAATTTCTCATGATTTTATTTTAAAAGAGGACGCTGTCCCTGTCAAACAATCGCCGTACAGACTGTCACCATCCAAGAAGGAAATATTGAGGGAAGAGGTTCGCTTCCTATTCGGTCATGGGTTAATTGAGCAGAGTGAGAGTGAGTGGACGTCCCCGTGCTATTAGTCCCCAAGACAGACAATACGATGCGTATGTGCACAGATTATAGGCGAGTGAATGCCCTAACCCGTGCCGATTCCTTCCCTCTCCCCAGAATCGACAATATAATTGATTCCGTGGTGTGGCTCCCTATGTTACCAAACTCGACCTGTTGAAAGGCTATTACCAAGTACCACTGACAGATCGAGCTAAAAGAATATCCGCCTTCATTATGTATGATGGATTGTTTCAGTATAAGGTGATGCCTTTTGGCATGCGAAATGCTGCACCCACGTTCCAGCGGTTGATGGGGAAGGTAGTGGCAGGGTTAAGTGGAGTATTGATGACACTTTAGTAACGTCATTAACTTGGGAGAGCATGTAGCGTCCTTGCGAGTTTTATTCCAACGCCTGAAAAAGCTTGCTTGGCTGTCAATTTAGTGAAGAGTGAATTTGCTCATGCACGGGTCGTCTTCTTGAGTCACGAAATAGGAGGGGGGACAAAAAGCCCCGTCATGGCCAAAGTAGAGTCAATCCAGCAATTTCCAGGACCCACGAGTCGAGAAGGTGTGATGCGATTTTTGGGGATGGCAGGTTATTACCGACGGTTCTGCCCGAACTTTGCGGATGTCCCAAGTCCACTCACTGCCCTGGTGAGCCCGAAAGAGAAGTTCGTCTGGTCCTCAGAGTGCCAAGCAGCTTTCGAGAAGATCCGATCCATTCTGATGACGAAACCTGTGTTGAAAAGCCTGGACTTCAGCCAGCCGTTCGTGTTGCAGGTGGACGCGAGCGACGTCGCAGCGGGGGGCGGTGTTATTTCAGGCTGGCGATGGGGGTCTTGCATTCAGGGGACCTTCTGGTGATTTTTCGGCGATTTTCGCCCCTCTTGCCGAATTGACTTTAATGCATTTTCAAGGAGTTTCTAGGCCCCGGTTCTCCCCTGAAAATTTCAAGGCCGACTGTTATTTTTAGGTGGTAGCAGCGATTTTCGATGTCGACTGAAATATTATTTTTTGATGTTACCTTAGAAAATCGGCAATTGTGACGCAATGATTAGAGATAATAAAATATGAGGTTATTTTCTGAAAGCTTATCAAATTTCACATAAGATGAGACCAACTCTTTTTTTGGAATAATTTAAAAATCCGGCAAGCGTCCAAAAAACGACAATGAAGAAATTTTCCATACAAATAACTAAATATGATATGTTATTCATATGGTGTATTTTCTTTTCTTTGTGTTTTCATCATACATAGTTACTTTGATCTATGAGCAAAACATTTCGAAAATGCAAACCTCCCCCCCCCCACCACCAAAATTTTATGGAATATTAATTAGGCTAAGACAAACCTCAGAGAAAAAAAAATCCTGGATCCAAACCATGGTCCGCATCACCACCAAACTGCAATAAGCGTCTAAGTTAGGTTAAAACTCACCTTTGGTTAAAATCTCGTTAAAATGTGTTCATAACTTTTAGAAATATTAGAAAACAAATAACAACAAAAAACAACAAATAAACAATCAACAAACAACAAAGAAACAAACGGAAGTAACAATATAAATAAACAAAAGGTCATGGGGTACACGAAAATTATCTATATGTGCTCATATACCTTATATACATACTTTCACATCGCCATGTAATTGTTTTTCGTCTTTCCACGGGGTCTGAGAGTGAAATTTGGCTACGTGACCCGTAGAGTTATTCCGCAGATTTAAAAAGACGATTTTCATGGTCCAGGACCGCGCGGGAAAAGTATGCGTTTGGTACCCGTCCGACTGGAGAAAAGTTATTCTTTCGACAAATATTATACGTTGTAAAACCCTATTAGAGCATCAATAATAGGTAAATGATAGATAATTATATCAAATGCAAGTATTCTGTACATGATTTGTCATGTAAAATGTAAACATAATAAAAAGGAATAAGATCGCGATTATTAGGTCCGTCATATTTTTACGCATAGCACACGTATTTTCGGTCCGATTTTAAAGTATTATGGCTCATTTTGTAGCTGAATAATAGTTCTATTACATACTGCCATGGGATTTGCAATATTTTCATGT